TTTTTTAACAGGCATAGCACTCAAAAATTTAATAATCATCCCTCATCCTTGCTTCTAGTAAGAATGTTGGATCTTCACTCTCAGTCTCTGGGAAAAAAACACAAAGAGATATTCCCACTAAGTGGGAATTAATAGTTTTAAACCCCTGAGTTAAAGATAAATGAGGAAACATGGAAAGGAATTCTCTGGGACAATGTACTGTTGGAGCGCTTCAGAATACAGCCAGAGTGGGTACAGTGTTTGTGCCCATGGGCTTCCACTCTGCCATGTGCTCAATCTTTACCACTCAGTGGCTGATACTAAAATCTAATGGTGTTATTCCAACGAATTTTCTCTTCTGGAGAAATCAGATCCCTCCTTCTCACCACAGTCTTCATCCAATGGCAAGACTGGCTCTGTAGACCAGCTGGAAAAAGACTGAATTAAAAGCACCACTTTCTGGATTTTCCTTCCTTTTCCATAAATTCTTCTGGTTGGTTTTATTTCCAGGTGGCCAAGTTTCCCTTTAAGAGTAATGTGAGTTTTGTGGTCATTGTACCAAACCAGTATACTCGGAATCCCTCTCATGTGCTGGAGAACTTCCCTTACAAACAACTATGCAGGCTTTTCCCCAGAGAGGTGCCCACCACAGTGAAGATCCCAAAAATAAAATTGGACTACCAGCTGGAACTCAACAAGGTTCTCAGTCAAATGGGTAAGGCCTCTTTGCACAGAACAAGCCAAGCTGTTCAATCTATGGCATCTGTTCACTGACACTTAAAACTGCCACCCTTGTTTCTAAAGCTGTGCCTCACAGCTTGCTCCAGAACTCCAAACTCTCCCATCCCTTCTTCCTCTCCTCCTCCTTACTCTTTGCTTGCCTAGCACCAAATGTTTTGCTCCAACAAGATGATACTACAGAGAAGAAAGCGTTCACAGTTTCTCCATTCCCCTCCTTGTAGCCAAGACCAACTTCCTCCTGTGCATCAATCTTTATCTCTTACTTTGTCATTTAATGCACTGTCCAGGACATGGAAATTGCCAACAGAGAAAATTCAGATCACAAAACTTGGCACTGAAATAAAACACCAGGCACTGCCTTTCCAGATGAGAATAATTTAAGAGTTCATTTTGTTTTGCAGATTTGCTTAAAAAAATAATCTCTGTAAAAGTGTTTCCAGCCTAGCAAGAAAGAGCCTTCAGACTTGCTGCTGCTTTTTAAGGATGACTTTAAGTTTTACACTACTATTCTAAACGAGGTGGACAAAGCTTGTGAAACCTGTTCTGGTTTTGGCACCCTCAGCTCTTCATACAGGAAGAGACTGGGGAACCTGCCTAGACTGCAGTTTTTGTTTCTCCTGCCTGTCAGTTCTCCAGGCCTTCATGGTGGGCAACACATGTAGCAACAGAGCAGGGAATTGCTTTCTTCAGACAGCTTTGAGAAAAATCAGAGCTGGTGGCACCAGCTGGGGAAGGTTAACTTCGTCTTCTTTCTCTGTAGGCCTCCAGGAGCTGTTCACAAGCCCAAATCTGCAGAAGATCACAGATGAGCCTCTCTTTGTGTCCAGTGTGCAGCACCAGTCCACCATGGAGCTTAAAGAGGATGGGGTGGAAGCATCTGCTGCAACCAGCGTCATGCTGTCCCGCTCGGTCTCTGTCTTCAGCCTCGACCGGCCCTTTGTCTTCATTATCTTTGAGGATGAAACGGGCATCCCGCTTTTCATAGGCAGTGTCCAGAACCCCAACCCCAGTGCTGCTCCCCAGATCCAAGAGCCACAGGACTCACGTGAAGCCACAGATGCCAATAAGTACCACGTGCCCAAATAAGAGAGGAGTAGAATCTAAGTGTTCTGGGACTGCAACCTGACCCTCTGGACCAGCTGAGAGAGGCCTTCTGCCCTCAGAGACCTCCCTCTGAGGCCACGGGAGGCAATTCCTTACTATTTTCCTTTACAGATCCCTAGAGACCAGTCCTGGGATAGCCCATTCTAGCCCTGACAAGCTTCTCCAGGCTGAGGTTCCCCTCTGTTGAACCTGAAAAGCTTGCTTTGCCTGGATTTCCCTTCCAGGGCTCTCAGTCATGGAAGGGAGACTTTCTTGTCCCCAGACTGTTATTAGAGTCTTTATTAAGATCTTATTAGAGTCCCCCATAGCCTGGAATCATCATTAGCATCTGGCAGCTTGGACAACAGCCAGAGATATATTAATATGGCTCTTCCTTCCGCAGTTCCTGGGAACATGTCTCCCTCAATGTTCCTCTGAAAACCATCTGTGCCCACCTAGAAAATGACCTCTAGAGCAACTGGACTAGTAACCAGTTGTCTTCTCTAGGATGAGTCACAGCCACTTCCAGGCACAGGCTCTTTTAAAAGATTCCCTTTTCCCACTCCTTGGCAATTTGGATTTGATGTAGGAGGCTCTGCAGTGGCAAACCACTTTGGATCCTTATCTGCAGCCCTTTTCCGGGAAACTCTAGAGGTTGGGTAATGCTAGATTTTTCAAGACATATTTTATAAAGTGTTTTTTAGTAATTTTTATGTTGGCAGAATAATAAAGAATAAAGCAGAATATATTTGCTGAAGGTGTTGCATTGAAGGACACAACAAAAGTTGAATAATTGCAAAGTTTGGGGGGGAAAAAAACGTCTGGGCACTAGAGAAGGAAAGATAGGAGAGGCTCTGGCAAAGGATCTGCTTTTTGTTACACCTCATCACAGGGACAACAGGGGCTGTGAGGTGAAATGGCAAATCTGTAAAGGCTCTCCAAGGACTCAGTCCAACAAGTTTTGGGCATCTCACCTGCCAGGTGTGCACAGGATGCTCTCTGGGTCAGAGCTGGCTGTGTAAGATGGCAGAATTCCCTGAACTAGGGCACGAGCTCAGTGGCACAGGGTCAGGAGGGTATTTTGCCTGTGAGCAGCAATGCAGGGATAAGTAGGAATGTGACAGCCCTTAACCTTTCTCTTGGGTAAAACCTGACAATTGCTGGGATCTGCTCAGAGGGTCAAAGGTGCTGACCAGCATCTGTTAATTGCAAGTTGTCCTTTATTGGGATACTCCTGACTCCACAGTGCTGTAGATGGCTGGGACAGCTTCCAAGGAAAGCAGAGCAGATTTTGACACCTGTAGCTGAATGTCACTGCTTTTGCCCTATTTTGGCAAAAGACAGCATCCTGTTACAGCTTCACTTTTGTCTGAGATGGGAACAGCCCATCACAAACCCTGAAATGAGACTTTGTTCCAAGGCAGTGGTGCACTATCATGAAAGCTCATGAGGCCCTGG